TCGTGCCTCGTGGCTCAGAGACCCCATCCCAAAGTGGAGACGTTTGAGGACACAAGCCAGGTGAGTGAGGCCTGATTACAGGTTCACCTGAAATATCCGTGCAAGAAAAATGGATCCCAAATGCTGCTGCCCGGCTGCACCTGCTCTAGCCTTGCCTCCTAACCCAGTCTCCAGCCTGAGGACACCACTGGGCTCTAGGCAGGACTGTTTCAGGTCCTTGTTCTCCATCCTATGGATTCTTTGGGGAGAGCTGGGAAATTTAGAATGGAAAATAAAATCAGTGCTGTATGGATACTACCAACTCCTTTCTAAAATATATTTCTTAAGAAAATGGGCTGGTTTACAACTAAAGGTGTCTTAGGAAGAGTGTTTACTTTAAAATTTTTACTTATAATTAAATCTTGCCTTAATTAGAAGTGAAATTTGCGAGTTTAAATACACTCAATGCATTTCTCAAACTTAAAAATTGAACCCTAGATTGCAGGCAACCCACCCCGTCAGGACTTGACCTCTACACACACACATGTATGCACACGTTCATGTAGACACACGTGTACTTTTTAACAAGAAACAGGCCCATTTCAACTGTATTGTCAACACTCTTAATGTAAGACTCTTGCTTTTCAGGCTTAACTTCAGGGTTAATCATAAAGCAATTGGCTTATTTGCCCCCAAGCATAAACATGTGTTACTCCCAAGAGAACAAGAACATTATTTCATGCTTAGAAAGCAGGCATCAGTATCAGTGTTCAAAACAGCCTAAGCGAAAATTTAGGCTTGGACAAATGTCAGGCTAAGCCTGTGGTCTATTTCACTGTTAGAAAGAACTTTGATGGGTAAAGTTAATCACTGGGGCTAAGCATTCCTGCACTCGCATTCCTTCTTCCAGCAGTCTCGGGGCTCAGGAATTCACACCAAATATGAGAAATGGAGTGATTACATTCTAGCTTCCTCGTTTCCCCTCTCACACATCAAAGTGGGAGCTGGAACCAATTGAGGCCATGTATGAATCTGGCTGATCACTGGTTTGGAATTAAAAAGGAAATCTGGGTTCAGTACTAGTTTGGACTGGTTCACTGAGAAAAGGCACTGAGGTGGGCTTTAGAAGACCTGGGTTCTGCCCCTGGCACAGCCTTTCCTCCTTGGCCAGTTAGGCTGCCTGGACCTGCTAAGGTTTTGTCCAGCTGTGACGGTGTCAGTAAGTGATGTGACCGTGGGCAAACTCTCGGACCCAGGTTAATTAGGTGTCACCCATGTCATATGTTTACCCTGTGCCTATCAGTGGGTTGAGGACAAGCAGGCCCGAGGGAAAAGCATTACTAGCATTGTCATTATTCCAAGGAGACCAGTTCCGGTGACAGTTCAGGAAGGACTGGGCTCTTCCGGGGGGCACAGCTGACTGCCCGTGACCCTCCCAAAGCCACCCGCTTTACCCCCTGGGGTGCTAACCCTGCTGAACACACATCTTCCACTGCCAGCCGCAGGAGGTCAGCCAGCTCTCCTCTCCCTGGGCCCAGGCGAAATACTTTTACCCAAGAACTTGCATCCTTTCCATTTCACCAACAGTCCTGGATGGCAGGATGAACCCAGGCCTTTGTCATTCCTGGCTGAGAAATAAGTCCTTTGCTGTTTATTTATAATCCTCCAAATAAGTATTTCCCTCCCACCAAGTTTTCATTTGGTGAAGAAAGGACGCTGCTTGACTCAGGAGCTCTTAAACTCCTCCAAAATCTTGCCAAAGGGGAGTTTATTTTAATTACCTACAGCCTGGTTTCACTTTGGCCTAGCAGACTTGGCGAATCCTGACTTTCCAACCAGTATGTCTTTCCATCCATGTCCGAAATCCAAAATGCCCAGGAGAGCAATTAGCCCAAATCACAGTGCCTGGGGCAGACTGAACAGCAGGCTTTGCTAGTGACATGAAACAGAGCTGGACAGCCACAGCTTGCTAAACTGTTGCCCTTCCAGTGTCCAGGACACTCACGAAAATCCTGGGAGCCTCATCCTTCAAGACTTGAGTTCACTTCTGCACATCTACTATAAAAACCATACATACATACACATGAGAGTGAGACCACAGGTAAGCAGGGCACAAAACAAGGTGCTCTGCTTATTATGTTATTTAAGGCAATTCCCATTAGCACCACTATTTTACAGATAGGGAAACCGAGGTGTCAGGGCGCTAAGCGACTTGTCCAGGCCCCACAGCCAGTAGATGGTGAGGCTGGGATTCAAGCTCCTTGTGTCTCACTTCAGCCCTGTGCCTTTCTGCCATCGCTCTGATGCCGCCTCCTTACGTAGTAAGCACCTGAGCACATCCTTACAGCAGGGCACTACTGACACTCCTGCAGCAAGTCAGCACTCCAAGTGCTCTGTGCCTCTGCCCACCCTCAGCTATTTAGCACCAGAAGCCAACTGATGATCCGTGTCAGCTGCCGGGGAGAGGATGGGGCTTTCCGGGTCTAGGGGAGTATTTCTCAAGAGTGGTCCCGGGACGCCACATCCGAATGAGGTGGCTTTCGTACATGGAAGATCTGGGAACCCCTGGGTGTGGGAGAGTTTGCTGGAAGTGGCCCTGTGGACACCTGAGGCTTTACAGCTGTTTTCAGTAACGAGCTTTTGACACAGGGAGGTGTGTGGGGCAGGGGCCTGTGCCCAGGCCTCCCTGTATGTCTGGTCCACCGAGGGCACAGAAGTCGTCTAGGATGCACTTGGCCGATGCCCCTTGCGGCTAAAATCATGCGTGAACCCAGTCTCCATCAAAGCTGTGCCTCGTGACGAAAATGAAGAAATGATGTTGCTGAACCAGTTTCCAAACCAGAAGCGTGCCCATTTGTGAGCTGCACGATGCACCCTGGCTGACAGCTAGCTGTACTTCTCACCTCCACAACCCGGGGACAGGAGACCTTGGGAAGGTCGACCTGAGGAAGGTCAGGACAGCTGGAAGTGTGAAATGAATGCAGCCCTGCGTAGCTGTCAAAGGATCAAGCTGTCTGCGGCGGCCGACTGACCATGCACACACACACTCGGCAGCACCCGCTAGGCATTACCTACTTCACCACCGGTGTAGAAGTCAGTGTTTGTCGGGTGAACGACAGCATCACTGTCGATCGAGGCAATGTCAGCCTGTACAACTTGCAACTATAACAGGTAAACAAATGTATATCAACTGTGTTGGACCGAGACCCACGCACAGGCACATTCACTAACGCCCCATGGCGGGGCTGGCCTACCTGGTCGATTCCAACATAGGAGCCCAAGGGGCACCGTCCACGAAGTGTGCGCACATGTGGATGGGGGTGAGGAGGAGGAGGAATAGCAAATGTGACATGTTGAAATTAAACATTTGAATGACAAGTCCAAAAAAAGAGAAACACACACATGAGATCATTTCCAAAGGTTAAAAGAAATAAAACAACGAATGCCCCATTTCACTTCGCAAAAGCCTGTAAAGCTGGCACCCCACTGAGAAGGCTACTAAAACATGGCGTCTGTTTGTTTAAAAAAAATGTGGACTATGAGGCCAACCAAAACAATAAGTTTCTCCATTTTGACAGCAGCAGTCAACTTTCCAGGTTTGATTTTTATTCTCGGGACATTCGTCAGTTTGTCTACCTTCAAGGGGCATCTCTTGAAAACTGGGAAAACAGTATAGGTATGCAGAGTGGACTGCCTTCATTTTCCCCCCTCAATTGTGTAAAAATATTTTTCTAGGCCTACTTTCTTTTTCTTTAGTTAATCCTATTTTTATGTATTTTACATAGAATAGAATAGAATAGAATCCTTGCTTTTTCTAGCTTGTAGCCTTTCTCCTCGCCGCCCACCCCCCATCCCCCAAGTACCTGTAAAAGGCAGATGAAAAACAAGTCAGAACAGGGCATTCTTGAGTTCCAGTTCCGAGGGCGTCCGCCCAGTATTGTACCCAGTTTGTGTGGACTGGGCCTGAGCTCTGGAAAGAACATCTCTCCCAGTAAGGAAATCTGCCATCTTAAAAGGCAGCCCAAGCTGGGAGCTAAAGGTACACAAAATGCACACAGGTCAGCATCAGACACGAGGCTGCCTGGTGTGGCCATCTGCCAGCCTGCTGCCCCTGGAAAGGCTCACAGCTGAGGACAGGAGCCTGTATGGTGCCTCTGAGTTGACAGTTCCTCTGTGCAAAGATGAAGCCACAGAGTGGGACGCCTGAGGGGTAACCCTCAGCTGGCCCTGAACCCTCCACCCTCCTGAGCAGGGAGACTCTGTGGCTCTGGGGCAGAGTCTTCCTCCACAGGAACTGGTTCAGAAAGAGATACTGCCCTTCTGTTTAATGTCATCCTCTAGCCAAAAAAATCCATGAAGGTGGCGTTCAGTCATATACTGTTTTCAGTTGTAAATAAAGCTGAAGAAGTGACAATACGTGGTAAATTTGAGGGAAAACCAATTTGCTGGTGGATTAAAGACAATTATATACTGATGCAGCTTGTCTCCGTTTTCAGGTGATTTCAAGCTTTGTTTGAGCATCATTTCTAATTAAGGCTTAAATGGAGAAACTATCATTTTGTAGTTACCTGAGACTTTTCAGTTCTACAAAAAAAAACAAAAAAAAAAAACAAGTTTTAAAAAATCCCCCCAAGTAACCAGCAGTCAGTGTGATCATTATGGAAGAGAATTTAGATGGCAATATATTTATAATCAAGGGGAAAGCAGCCAATTGCACTGAGTGAAACATTATTAGATCACTTCCATCTGGAATGGCTTGACGTAAGTAGACATTTAATGCCTACACTCAACCCTTCATGTTGGATTTGGGAATCTGGCTTGACCATCTGAAGTTTGAGAAGATGAAGAGCCTAAATTCCGGGTTCCATAACTTTTCATCTGACAGCTGGTGGCGCCAAACCCCATCCCCAATTACCTAGGTCATCTTTAAGGTCAATGTCAGCATTGGTAGGATTGATTATGGCCTCCACCTCAAAGCCGGCTAAATTACTGATTTCACTGTGAATAAGGTTCAGCTGAAAAGAAAAGCATGAGGTGGGAAATAACAGGACAGCTGGGAAGTCACAGAGAAGTGAGCCTTGGGACACAGATGAAGGGCAGTGAGCACTCCAAGTGCACTGGGCACAAAGGGGAACAGGGAGTGACTGGCTAACACGGATCCATTTCTAATAAAAGACTCAAATGTTAGGATACTGAAAGGAAGCAAACTAGGTTTAAGGTCCACAACCTGTTGGGTGATGCTTGGGGCAAAAGAGAGGCATAAGCCATATTGGACTGGTGGGTCCAGTTCCCTTGAAAGAAACTTGTGATCTGGGGACCAAAGAAAAGCAGCTCTCAGGACCCAGGACCAGAGTCCTCCTTCCTGGGGCGAGGGTGCTATATGCGACTGTCCTCTTCTTTGAGTACTGGGATGGCACAGAAGTCACAGCTCGTCTGGGCAAGCCCCTAGTAGCTCTGCCATCTCCTCCAAGTGGCCACGAGTCTTTAAGGCTGTCCCCGTCACCGTGACTACTGGCTGGCTGGCTCCAGTGTCCTGCTCAGGGGTGGCAGGGAGCGAGAATGGTCTTTTGCTCAGTAACATCTACCTTTACCTATTAGTCATGTAAAGCTGAAGTTCTGATGGAACCCGGGGAAGAGAAACAGCAGTTCTCTAGTGAGACCATGGGGCCCTCAAACGGTTTTCACCTTGTTGGCGAGGTTACTGAGGCCCAATGGGCCCAGCATGTTCCTTGAGTGTGTTTTATGAGTACCCAACCAACTGGCTCTTCTAAAGAGCCACTGAATGTCCTTCCTCCTCACTGTTACTCTGTGGCCACAGCAACCATCAGTATGAGAGAAATCCTGAGTTGTGGACTCGGCGGTCAGTAGGGCCATTAGCTGGTCCAGGACTACTGTCCAGGATCCCCCTCTTCCCCTTCGTTCTCAGCTGCAAGTGCCTGTGGCAAAGCGCGCGCGTGCACGCTCGCGCTCGCGCTCTCGCTCTCTCTGAAGATGCTCTTTCTTCAGTGACATAAATTCCTAATAGCTTCAGCCAAGAGCCCCCAGAGGAGCTGGTGCCCACACCGACTGAAGTCCAGGCTGAGAGAGCTGACTGCAGCCGGCGGGCCCAGTGGGGCTGAAGCCTCTGTCTGGGCTGTCATTCCAAGGACCCGTGGCAGGGAGACTCTTGGCAACAGAGCTCCAAGTCACTAAATTTCTGGGGCCAAAGATTTTGTTGGAAACAAAACCAAACAAGAAACCTGACACTCTAGAAGCATCAGAAATATAAATCTACATTTCTGATTCCCAGAAACAGTCAGTAGATTCTCAACAAAGGGACCTGCTTAGACGAAAAGCCATCATCCTTTGTGAGAGAAAAGTTGTGGCAATAAATTTGGTCATATGGCTGGTAATGGACTCTGGCTAGGCCCTGGCACAAAGCGGTGTCTGCATTTTAGTTTGGACACAAAGGGAAAAGAACAAGTTTTCTCCCCTTGGACTTTTTGGGGTAATGGTTCCCAACACTGCAGGGTGGGCAGGGGCCACCCACATCCCTGGAGCCAAAGGAAGCCCACTGGGAGTGATCTCACATAGTGACGCTCTCAGAAGCGCAGGGCCCTGGTGCCAGGACAGAGGCGTGGAAGAGAGACAAGCATCAGGGGCCAGGGTGCTACCTGCCTCGCTCAGGGAGAAGGGGCGTGAGTGGGCACAGATGGGGGTGGGGGTCTCAGGGTAAGGCGAGTGAATGTGCAGAATTCAGGACAAGGTAAAGGGTTTCATTATGATATCATGTAAGTACTGCGTTTGACTTTAAACTGTTGATAAAAACTCAAATTAAGCCAAAACTCCCTGTCCCCCCATCCAAAACAAACAAACAAAAGAACCCCACTGTGCGAAGTGGCAAGAGGTCATTGGGGAAGGAAGGAGGAGAAAAAAGGGAAAGGAACACTTCACTAGGTGTGGTGTGGAGGAGTACACATCTGTGCGAGTCCTTTTTCGTTTGTCTAAAACCTGCACACGTTCAAATCCTTAAAATTCACACTATACTTTTTTCCACTTGTATAGATGCTACTGGATTTGTACTCAGAGATGCCTCACCAGAAAAGTAGCTATTTTCATGGACTCCAATTTAGCCAGGAAGACCGCAGTGGCCTGTTTCTGATGCTGCCTGGGAAGAACCAGCCTCTGTCTACAGGAAGGGGCTCCCTAGGGAAGCTGGGGGGGTTCGTAGCTTTGCTGAAGCGGGGAGTGGTTGCCAACAGAACTCAAGTTCCTCGGAGAGCTTCCAGTGCACTCTGGACTCACCCTCCCTCCTGGCCCAAGGCAGCGGCCTGTGGAAGCACAGAATCCTGCACCCCAGGGAGCCACGAGCAGCCCAGGTGAACCAGGTAGACGGGAGCTGGGCCACGCTCACGCACACCTGAGTGCTGACTCTCCAGCTGTGCTCTGCTGTGCGCCAGGGTGAGTCACAAGGCAGTTTTGCTGCTATTGACTGTGTACACATGTTTATTTTTAAAATCCTCTTAACTATAAAGCGTGTGCTTGGTGGGAGGGGCATCTGTGTGGTGGGGTGTCTGCTTGGGAGAGGAATGGGGAGAGGAGAGGACAGATTGCTTCAGGTACTCAGGGAAGACTAAGGGGTCATCCACTTGGCCTGGGCAGGCTGGCCCAGTGGGCAGGAGTCAACAATGAGTGAGATGATCGTGAACAAACACAGAGCTCCCCTGGACGGGAGAAGAGAGCCTATGAGCATGGGATGCAAATGCATGTCTGAAAAGGATGTGCTGTCCAGTGGACACACGAACAGGCCTGGTAGGGGCAAGACAGATGCCAGTCCTGGGGGGGGGGCCCAGGCCTCCCACCACCTCCCAGGGCCAAATCCGCCTGGGCCTCTCAGCCAAAGAGGCATGTGGCTGTCTGAAGCACATGGCAGAGCAGGGGAAATCAGGTTTCTGGGGATCTCAGTTCCCAAGTTTAGTCTGCTTTTCCATGAGGGAAGAGGATCAGTAATGATTTCAGAATTTGAATAAGGTGGCCTTCTTTGTCTCGTCATTGGGAAAGAGGGAAGGCTAAGTTTTCAACAACAGCATGGGGAACTTAAAATATCTGTGGCTTGTTGGCCACTGGAGAGAGTGACCAAAAGGTATCGCCAGTTATAGAGCAGAAGGGGGTCCCACTCGGCTGCAGAGTTGAAAGAAGTGGCCTTAAGGCAAGTGTCCTTCAAGATCCCTTCCAGCATGGGAACCTGCTGATCCTAAGCTCCGCTGGCTCTGCTATAGCCACCCCTGAAGTCCCCAGCACCCAGGTCTTCCCTCTAGGTGGGTATGCCCACATCAACCCGTTCTCTACTCATGATGTGAACTTGTCAGCGGACAAGCTCCTTGAGGGCACAGAGTGGGTTGCCTCCTACGCTGAGGGCCACACAACGCCTAAGACAGTGCTCAGGTTTCTATGGGCACACAAACAGAGCTGGAACTGAGTGTCCAGCACCCTAACGTAACTGAGATGAAATGAACATCCCCCTGCCCTTACAGCAGGGCTAATGGAAACGGCATCTCAGGACCCGGGCCCTTGGCCTGGCTTAGACCTGAGGGGGCTCAGGGACAACTTGGCCATCCTGGAAAGGAGGCTGGCACCCACCATCTAGGACAAGTCAAGAGGTGGCCTGTCCATAATGGGTAAGGAGCTGATGGCTGGGAGCTCCTGGATAGACATCCAGGCTGCATGGCTACAGGAAACAGTACAATCCTTTTTCATGTAATATGATCAGAAATTCAATTTTAGGAAATGAAAGTGATTGTTACAGACTATCCAAGTGACATGCTTAGACTAGCCTGTAACTGTCACATTTTGGTGTCTCGCACTCCCTCAAAATGGACAATGAGGGAGAACTGGCCAGTCTCACTTCCCCATGCTAGTCACACAGAATGCAGCTCTTCTCCTGTCCCCAAAGTCTGCTTCAACTAAGAAGGATGGGAAGGGCCATGTCTTCGATCCTAATTCCTCACGGAGACCCACGTTTTCTCGGTGGCCCACTCTCGGGCCCACTCTCCTGCCCTTGCTTCTGGGATGAAGGGCTCCTTCATGTGTACTATGCTGCCCACCCTGCATGCATCTCAGCCCGAATTCCTCCAGAAGCCTCAGGCCTGGCGCTGGTATTTGATGAGTTTCAGGCTAGAACGTGTCACACAAAGATAAGGACACGTGTGGGCACTGATGGAGGCCCAGGAGCTGAGTCAACACTCTTCATTGCTTAGTCAGTTTCCTAAACTATCTCAGACGCCAACAGTCAGCCACAGGATGGAAAGCCCTTTCCTCCTCATTGCTGCTTCAAGAGCTCGCTCTCTCCTTGCAGTGTTCCAGCCCCCGGAGTGGGGTGTCTGGTTCTGAGGAAGAAGAGCCGTGGAACCCCACCCCTGCCTTTAGGGGCCTACAGAGCTGCAGATGCAATCCTGATGGTTGGGGAGGCGTGAAGCCTCACTCATACCCTCCTTACACTGCCTTCCCAACTGCTTCAAATACTACTGACACTACTAAATTTACTACCACTGACACAGATTTCGAGAAACACATTGGAAGTATTTTTTTTAGAAATTAAACCATTAGGTTTTTAAACATGAAAAGGGGCTGCAACTCTCCATTTAACCACAAAGCAAAAACATTTAGTCAGTTCAGATTCACAGCAGTTTTCTTTTTGAAAATAATACAACGTGTGTGAACACTGGATAAAATCATAGAGTAATGAGGGCGATTACCCTGAGACTGCAGTATGTGAAATACATCATCAACAACAATTAGATCCCAGGCTCCTAAGCCCAAGCTGGCTTCTCCTGTGAGTAGCTTAGCAACCATGCCTTATGTGGCTGCAGGGAGCACAGTATCACCTTTCTCCACCCCAGCTTGCTTGCAATATTCAAGCCTTGGTTTCACTGTAACAGGTAGGAAAAATAAGACTCAGAGAACACAGGGTACCGTACAGTCATCGTTCTGAAGTACCCTTTTGGAAACATTTCCTAAAATCCAAGTCACAATTAATTCTGTGATAATAACATTTTAAAATGTGCTTTGTGTAGATTCCTATGTGTCAGCTTTCTGACTCTTGCCCCTTTGGCACTATATGCCATGACTTTCACCTGTAAGTCATGGCCAATAAAGGGCCAGCAAGAACTGCTTCAAAATGATGCTCCAAACTACTGGGTTGTCGGAAAAGTCATGGTGCATTTTTACAACAAAAAACAGAAAACTACGTCATGAGTTTTCCGAAAACCCAATATAAACACTCATCCATCTCCTGCTGCAGGGGCCCAGGTTCCGGAAGGGCTGCCTGCACACTAGCTTCTAATACTGGTGTCCAGGCTGACGTGAGGTGCCACTTTATTCTGTGATGCCACATTTGAGGGGACACAGTTCATTCTGCTAAAGAGTGTCTGTGGTACTGGAGTTGGGGGTCGCTGGCGCTGGATGTGGGAGGCTTGGGTCATTAACCTGGAAGCACATTTAACGCAAAGGGTCGTCTCATGGTAGCTTGGTGTTTCGTTCTCATCTCTGACACATGACTGCATGCTATGCAGGTGGGCCATCAGGTTCTGTCCTCAGCCCCTTCTCTTACAGCTGACCACTCTCTCTACACTGCGTTCCAGCTCAACCAGTCCTTTCAGATTCTCCCTCCAAAAGTCAAACAGGCACATTGGTTTCATTTGTCAAACCTACTTCTTCCGTTTTCCTCTGTCTTGAATAACATGAGCTGACATGTCTGTAAATGATTAGAGTATCAGTACTGCTCTGTAGGTTCTGGACTCTCCCGTCCCCAACCCTGAGTGGGGTATAGTTAGTATTAGCTGGATTTGTACTGTCTGGTACTTTCATGCCTGTGGTGCCTGCTCCTGAGGCCTGAGACCAGGTGTGCTCCAAATGGAGGAGAAGATGGTGCTGCTTGTTGCCGAGGAGCTAGCAAGGCGTCTGCAGCCTTTGCCGCCTCCCTTCCAGGGTTCACGTGCAATAGAGTCCAGACAGGGCCCTGATCCCAAGATCAAGAAGGGCAGGAAGGGATCTCCGTTGGGCTGAGCACTGCTATTGTGGAAATACCTGGGCTCACCTGGCACAGGGTGTGAGGAGTTCTGGTCTGAGGCTGGCTTTGGGGTAGCCAGCAGGAGGTAGCAGGAATACTGGGGAGGGAGAGGCCAGGGTCATAGCACCCAAGGGCAGGGTGGGAGAAGAAGTGAGGGTGGACCCAGGGGCTAACGTGTCCTACCTGCTTAACAGGCTTCCAAGCCAAGGCTAATCATCTGCATTAGGGATCTGAAACACACAGGAGCTAGTCCTAAGTGGCAGGGGTTTTCACACTTTCCTTCAAAACAAAGCCATTTGGATGACAGGTCCCATTAACTTTCAATATATGGCCCACAGGGCGTGTTAAAGGGTGTGCAAGGAGACCCCGGTGGTTGCCTTCACTGCTGAGATGGCCTTTTCTAAATAAAGAAAAAAATACTTTAAACAAAAATGTTCAAAGCCCCAGACCTTAAGATGACAACTAATGCTGCTTATTTTTTCCTTTGAAAAATGCGTACAAAATACAGATAATGGTTATAAAAGGTAAACCACAATGGTTATTTGCTGGAACACAGAGTCCACCACTGGCATTGCGTCAGGAGAGCCTGCCTCAGTCACAGGGAAGGGGGAGGGAAAGGAGGAGCGCTTGCAATGACATGAGCAGGAGGGCTATGTCACCGAGATGCAAAAGAAAACGGACGATGAGGTTGTAAAAATGATGCAGCTTCAGATCCAAGTTGTTAACCACATCCAACTACACACAATTTACATGGGAGATCAAATTCATGCCTTTAATTTTTTTTTAATGTAGGATAAAAAAAGTAAGAAAAGTTTAATTCCCTCTCCATTCGTTTTTTTTGTTTTGTTTTGTTTTGTTTTTTTTGTGTGTTAATAGAGAAAGATTAATTAACTTTCATTCTCAGGTCTTAAAAGCCTTTGCATCATTTTTATTTTCAACAAAAGTGAATCATCTTTTACAAAACCATGGCGTCTGGAAGGTTGCATCACTGGGGCGGCTGAAAACATATTGCCCACGGTTAACAAAACCAAACAACTGGCTCAAGGAGTCGTCAGGTGGCTCAGCGCACCCCTTACGTACATCTAGAAACAACCCCGCCCCCTGGACCGGGGGCTCTACCTTCAGCGCCCACCAGAAGGCGTGGGGGCCTGCTGGAGCTCTCCTTTTCCAGGACCCAGTTTTAACTTCTGGCAGTTTTTCTGCGCAGGACTATATGATGACCAGATGACCCCACATGGGCAGCTCCTTCCGAAGACTCACTGGGGTGTCGAACCCCCCACAGGAGCCCTTCCCTCTTCTTGACCACTCTCTCCTCTTCCTGTTGGGCTCCCCGCAGCACTACAGCCGCCGCCCTCCCCGAGGCTCCGCCTGAAGCTGCCCCCACCCGCACTCTCTCCACCCACACCCACAAGGCCTGAACCCCTCTTTCCCAGGGCCCGTGAGCAGACCGAGGCCGAATGTTGCCTACCTTCTGTCCCAGGAAGAGGCTCTTGGTGGAGAGAACCGTGAAGCCATCGGCGGGCGTGCCCTCGGTCGTACTGTCGGCGCTGGCGGCCTTGCTGACTTCTCCCTGCTTCTTCTTGTACAAACAGAAGAGTCAGTGTGTGGCGCGCACAGCCGGAGGCCCCC